TGCGAGTAGCAGGAGATGAAATACTTGTAAACGTAAGCCTATAAATACAATTAAATGAAAAGTAGTTAGAATACAATACAATACAATATACAATAATAATGTTACAATTTTTCAGAATGTCGGCATAAAATTTTTGTTAAAATGGCCGAAACTTAAAAAATTGAGGATGGAATCCGCTCTAACTTACTACACAGCAGAAGGACATCAATATGTATCAGAAAATGTAATAAAAATTTGGTGTGATTTCAAAGCATTACATTACATTACTTACATTAAATACATGAGAGTCTTTTAAAGCTACAAGCTCCTACGAGAGAGAAAATGAAAGAAAGGATAGGAGGAGGAGAGAGATGAGAACAATGATATATAGTCTCGCCACGCCCCTTCGCTACCTGCGGAGGAAGGGTCTGGAGACACTCACGGTAAAAATGTGTGCAAAGAAAACCATGTGGTTGGCTCTACATCATGTGACAGAGAAGACCAGATCAGTCAAAACAGCTGAAAGAGATGCTTTGCAGCTAAAAGAAGACAAGGATACAGTCTCTTGGACATCTCTTGCAGATTTGAGAGCAGCAGCTCTTTACAGAGCGCCATAATATTTACTTTTTATTGATGACGTTCTATTGTAAACACGTGACAGTATTATGACGTCATAAGTGCCATGGCGTCGTTGTAGTAAGCAGCATAATAATGCTGCTCTTAAACTTTGAGAAAGAAGTCCAGGGAGTGTTACAGGCTCCTTCCAGCCTTTATTTGGTCCTCATTCTTCTTCTTTTGTCTTAAACAGAGCTCTTCGGTCACACGACTACTTGTCCTACACGTGGTTCGAGCAATCTGATTGGGACGTGGATTTCTCTGCATATAGCACAGCTTTTTACTGCGAGTGTCTCCAGACCCTTCCTCCGTAGGTAGCGAAGGGGCGTGGCGAGACTACTGATAATAGTACACCATCACATTCTGTCAACATGTTAAATAGATGAATAAATAAATAAATAAATAAATATATAATAGGATCATTATGCTAAATGCTCAATGGCACTGGTCACAAATTCATAACACGTTATAAATCATAATAATGCAGTAATTCACAATTTTACTAAAATTCATGTACTAGTATACATGTACAGGTACATTTAAACTACCTCATCTGTTATTTTGCTGTCATTAGTAACTCCATCATTTTCATCATCAACTTTCTCTCTTCCCTGTATATGAAAAGTCCAAAGTCCATCATGATCTGTCTTCTTCAATGCCGCCATATTGAGGGTTAAAACAACAATTATTGCCCCGCTCAAAACCAGCCCCTCCCTTGTCATTTCTTTTCAAAATTTTGCATCCGGTTAGCTTGTTTTTATATGAATGTCAAATAAAACAAGCTCTCCTTCCTCTTCTCTGAGTCTCTTCTCTTCTCCTTTGACTATTGGTAATGTTCATTAACTATCTATGTATCATTGAATATGATTTTAGATCAACTTATTGATGTACTTGATCTGTTGAAGAGATGTGGTTTCCCTCAGACAAGATGGCATGAGCTAGGACTGAGACTAGGACTACACAAGAACACACTGGATGCTTTAGAAATGATTTTTCGTGGTGATGTATCTCGGTGCTTGATGGAATGTCTTTGCCAGTGGTTGCGTAGAGCTGATAACGTTGACAATAAAGGAAGAGCTACCTTTGACTCACTGTCAGATGCTCTTAAATCTATGAATGAGAATGCTGCAGCTGACAAGTTAGATCAAGAGAGTAAGTTAATATCACTGATTGTATTAGTATTGACTGTGTGTGTGTATTCTATAGAACGTAAAGCTAAGGCTATTGATATATTCAACACTCATCGTCCACTCCTCTCTCAGTCTCTCTCTGATCCTGTCAGTGTAGCTATTATGCTTCAAAGAGAGGGTGTCATAACAGGACAAGTATTGGCTAGTGTAGAATCAGCTAGTCCCTCTGTTCCTAATCAACGTGAAGTCTTGTTAGCTGCCATTATAGTAGTTATTTGAAGCAAGTATAGTTTACTACAAACATTTGCT